TGCGGGGGCTCTGCGGGGAGCAGCGGTACCGCAGGCTGGAGGAGATGGAGGGGGCGTCACACACACTTGTACTGTGGACGCTAAATGGCGCACAGTGTAGCTGCTGTTTGTGGGCAGGAGAGACGTCTCCCCCCAGGAGCGGGAGCGGCTTTGTCGCAGGAGAGCTGTTCACACCGGTACTTTGCCTGGGTAAAACATTTGTCCTTCTGAGGTGTTAAAAAAACCCTCCCAAACAACAAAAGTTTTCCCAGTGTGGACCTAGCCTGAGTCTGCTGGGGACAGGGCCTGGTCCTTCTGACCTTGCTGCCAGGGATCCCCCTCCCGCGCTGCCCCCCTCCCCGACTCACTCTGCCCTCATTGGCTCGGGGCTGGCAGCTGCGGGCACAGAGCTGAGCAGACAGAGAGAAAAAGAGAAGTTGACGGTCTGAGAGGCGTGTGGGCTGTGGAGGAACTGAAAGCACGTGGGGATCCTGGGCCTCTCATCCCGCTGCCCTGACGCCCACCAGAGCCCGGGTCCCCCTTCCCCTGCCGGGATGCTGCTCGCTCTGCTGCTCCTCCCCTGGGCATGGGGGGCCCTGGCCGGTAAGTGGGGACCCCCCCTGCCGTTTTTGCTGCAGGGATGCGTGGGGATGGTGTAGTACTAGGGGCAGGGTGGGGAAGTACCAGGCTGGGCTAGTGACCCTGGCTGGGGGAGTAGGACGGGTGAGGCAGGTTAGGGATCAGCAGGGAGACCCCATAGTGCAGGATTGTTCATGGGACAGAGACTCATTAATCTCTCTCCCCACCTGCTTTGTCCTCCACTTGTTCCCTGCCCCCTGCCCCAGCCTCCCCTCCTGTCCCCCCAGCGTCTATCACCCTCCAGCTGCTCCAAATCGACGTCTTCCACAACGCAGGCTCCACGGACACACAGGGGATGGCCCTGCTGGGTGACCTGGAGACCCACTCCATGGACTGCAGCACCTGCGAGATCCGCTTCCTGCAGCCCTGGGCCCAGCAGGGCCTGACCCCGAAGCAGTGGCAGGACCTGGAGCTGCTGATCCATCGCTACCTGTTCAACTTCAACCGGACTGTGAACAGATTAGCCCAGCACCACGGAGGGAGCTGTGAGTATGGAGCGGTCTGAGGGGATCCCTCCCCCCACCCACCCGGGGTGCTGAGAACTGACACACTCACCACAGCCACTGAGTGTGTCATTGGGGGCAAGACAGCCAGTCCCTGGCCCTTTGGTTGATTGGAGCCGGCGTCCCCCAGAGGGGAAACACCCGTGTCCCATTCTCCACCCCAGAGTCAGCCAGCCAGGTTTGGGGCCAGATTGTAGCCTGAACTTCCTAGAGGGGAAAGGCCCCGTGTCCCACTCCCTGAGCCGAGGCTCCTGGTCTTTCCTGACATGTACCCTGACCCTTTGAAAGCAGGTCATTTGGGCTGGGGGATCTGTATTTCGGGAACCCCGTGACCAAGGGGCCCCAAATTTGCACCACAAACTCTGCCTCAGGCCCTGCTGTAAGGCAGCGTTTTTCAAGCCAATCTGACTATGCCCGTGAAAAATCAGCTTTAAA